AATCCTTGATAATTGGCGCCAAACTAGCTCTGACATTACAGAACCTATAGTCTACGGCAGAGACCAGGATCGAGAGCAAATTGTGAAGTTTCTTTTGGAAGATGTTAGTGACAGTGAAGAGCTCTCCATCTATCCCATAGTTGGCATGGGTGGACTTGGCAAAACAACACTTGCCAAGCAGGTCTTCAATGATAACAGGGTATGCAAACATTTTGACTTGACAATTTGGGTTTGTGTTTCTGATGATTTCAACACTGAGGTAATACTACAATCCATCATAGAATGTATCACTGGACAAAATCCCAATCTCAATAGCTTAGAATCAATGCGGAAAAAGGTTGAAGAAGTGTTGCATGGCTCAAGGTATTTACTTGTTCTTGATGATGTGTGGAATGAGGACCAAGAGAAATGGAAGCAGTTGAAGGGAAAGTTGCAATGCGCAAGGGCAGCAAAAGGAGCTTTCATTTTGGTCACCACTCGACTCAAGGAAGTTGCTTCCAGCATGCAGACGCATCCTGCTTACCATTTGAAAGAATTGTCAGGAGAGGATAGTTGGTCGTTATTCAAACACCATGCGTTTGGACCAAACAGAGAAGAAAAGGAAGAACTCGTGTCAATTGGCAAAGAGATAGTGAGAAAATGCGTTGGTTCGCCGCTTGCAATCAAAACATTGGGAAGCATAATACGTGATGAAAGTGACGTAAAACAATGGCAGAATGTAAAGGAAAGTGAGATTTGGGATATACGGGAGGAAAGTAGTTCTGCGACAGGTGAGGAAAATTCTATCATGCGTGCTTTGAAATTAAGCTATTTTAATTTGGAGTTGTCCTTGCGGAGATGCTTTTCTTTTTGTGCAATTTTCCCCAAAGATTTTGAAATAGACAAGGAAGAACTTATTCATCTCTGGATGGCTAATGGATTTATTAAATGTGAAGGAAATGTAGAAGTGGAGGATGTTGGAAATAAAGTGTGGAAAAAATTATACAGTAGATCATTTTTTCAAGAAGCTAAGTATGATGAATTTGGTATGATCAAAAATTTCAAGATCCATGATCTATTTCATGATCTTGCCCAGTCTATTATGGGTGAGGAATGTGTGGTTATTGTGAAAGGAAGATTGACTCCATTGCCAACTAGAGTTCACTATTCAAGCTTGTTCAATTCTGGTGTGTCTGATGATATGACTGCTTTCAAGCAAAGAACGACGACTGATTTGAAGAAGGTTGAATCCCTGCAGACTTTTCTTGATATTGGTGGTATTGGCCCGGTGCCATCAAATCATTGTCTCCGAGCATTGCAAACAAGCTCTTCATTGTTGTCCCCACTCAAGGATTTAACACTTTTGAGATACTTGAGTTTGAGATTTTGTAGATGTTCGGAAGAAAGCTTAAATAGCTCAATTTGTCAGTTGCCAAAATTGCAAATACTGAAACTGTTTCATTGTCAAGAACTTCATGGGTTGCCTAAGGACTTGACACGATTACAGGATCTGAGGCATATTGTGATTAATTGTTGTCATTTAATACAAGAGACGCCTCCGAATATTGGCAAGCTAAGGCATCTAAGAACCCTGAACACTTTTGTTGTGGGTTTGAAAGGAGGGTGTGGGTTAGCAGAGTTGCATAGCTTAAAGCTGGGAGGCACGCTGAGTATCAGAGGCCTTGAAAACGTCCCCAATGAATGGGATGCTAAACAAGCAAATTTAATGAGCAAGAAAGAGTTGAATCGCCTACACTTGTCATGGGGTAGTAGTGCTAATTCAGAAGGTAGTAATGTTAGTGTGGAGAGAGTACTCGAAGCCCTGGAACCACCCTCAGCTCTGAAGAGTTTTGGGATGAGAGGATATCAGGGAAGACAATTATCCAATTGGATGAAAAGTTCTGTAGTTTTGAGAGACTTGGTGGAAGTTGAGCTCTTGGACTGTGACAACTGTGAAGAGCTTCCACCACTTGGTAAACTAGCACACTTGAAAAGGCTAGAGGTGAGTGGAATGAAAAATGTGAAGTGGATAGATGGTGATACGTATGATGGCGTGGAGGAGAAGGCATTTCCATCGTTGGAGAAACTGACCATGAGCAATTTACCAAACTTGGAGAGAATGTTGAGGGAGGGAGGAGTAGAGATGCTCCCTCGACTTTCTGAATTAAGAATTTTTTGCGACTCCAACCTTAAATTTCCACGTCTCTCTTCTGTTGAGAAACTTGTTGCTATGAGCATTGACGAAGTGGCTTCCTTCATGGAAGGGGTTCTGGGGAATCTTCCTTCTCTAAAGACCTTGGGCATTTATTGCATTAAAGGAGTTGTGGTATTACCCGACCAACTCAGTGGGTTGCATGCACTACAAGAACTACGTATTGAAGGATGGTATGATGTGGAGTATTTTCCAGAACACGTGCTGGAAGGTCTAACATCTCTTCGAACTCTGTCCATTAAAAACTGTAAGAAATTAAAATCATTGTCTGAAGGAGTGCGACATTTGGCTTGTCTTGAGAGTTTGACGATCGGTAATTGTCCAGAGCTGGTGACTCTACCAAGCAATATGAACCAACTAACTGCCCTTCGGAATGTCTCAATTATTCAGGGATACTCCACATTACCTTATGGCTTACAACGTGTCCCTTCCCTACGAGTTTTAGGTATATATGCATGCACATGTACTTCATTGCCGGACTGGCTGGGAGACATGACTACTCTTGAAGAATTAAGAATTCATTGCTGTTGGGAGTTGAGGTCACTGCCGAGTAGCATTCNTAAAGGACTTGTAAGATTAACAACCAATCAAGACATATCCTTTTGTCTTTTAAACTTGCAGAAAGATAAAAATGTGCAACAAAAAAAATCAACCAATCAAGACATATCCTTTTGTCTTTTAAACTTGCAGAAAGATAAAAATGTGCAACAAAAAAAATCTGAGGACACATTAAAAGTAATTATTTATTTATTTTGAAAATTAATTAATTTTTAAAACAATGTTTAGCAGTGTATATCATGTATTAAATTAGTTATTCTTATTTATACGGTAATTCAGAATATTGAAAACAAATAAATGTAATAATAAAATAACTTTTTAAATAGACAATTTTTTATATAAGAGGCAAGGATTTCAAATTGGATTGCAACTACGGAAACCATGTGCAATATGGAAAAGATTGTTGTTACTTCCACATACAGATTTGGTGGAGTTAGTAAAAAACTGCATTACTAAGAGGTGTTACATAATACAAGAAAATAATTGCAAAGCTAACTATTATATTCCTCCTTAATATTCTAAAGCTTCTACTCTTTCCGGTTAAAATATGTCAATTAATTAAGTTGCTCATTTCGGTTAATACAATTCTTAAAATACATTCAATTTTTTCTTTTGATCTCTCAATATTTGTTAATATGTTTTTTCCCATTCATATGATCATGTTTTATGCTGATAGAATAAAGAAAGAAACTTAATACAAGTAATTCATTAACATTCCAATGGTGTAACATAACAACAGTCAATCTAATAAACTTGTAGACAAGAGTCATAAATATGAAAGAAAACACCTAAAAGAATATATCTTTATTAAATAACTAAATTAAAAAGCTGTGAAATTTGAGCGCAAATGAAGGAGAAAGTGAGAGGACATGTTTATGGAGTGCAATGACGGGAAGAGAGCGAAGTTGGTACGCAATTATAAGGATGTTTTGACTTGACTCCTTGTTTGAACACTCCTCGTCAACAAAAGCAAAGTGGGGCCACTCCTTGTGAGAAAACAACACGCTATATTTATTGCCATGGCCACCAATTGCCAATTCAAATAAACGAAGATTGATAATTTTCTACGATCACCACAAAACACTCTTCTCCATACTTCCTTCTCCACAGTCATAATCATCCCAAAAACCCTCCTTTCTGTAAATGGCTGAGGCTTTGCTCGGAATTGTAATTCAAAACTTGCAATCTTTTGGCCAAGACCAACTTGCAACGTTTTGGGGTGTTCACCAACAAACTCAAAAGCTTTCCAGCAATCTCACTGCAATCCGTGCTGTCCTCAGAGATGCTGAGAGAAAACAAATCACAAGTCATGCTGTCAAAGATTGGCTGCAGAAACTCACAGATGCAGCATATGTGCTTGATGATATCTTAGATGAATGTTCAATTCACTCCACAAAAGTGAATTTTGACGATCGACATACTTCATGCCTATCCCGTCTCCATCCTAAGGACATTCTCTTTCGTTTCAATATTGGCAAGAGGATGAAAGACATCACACAAAGATTTCATGACATTCACGAAGAAAGAAGTATGTTTAATTTAGTACCCGGTGTCACAGAGGTCCAAACAATCCTTGATAATTGGCGCCAAACTAGCTCTGACATTACAGAACCTATAGTCTACGGCAGAGACCAGGATCGAGAGCAAATTGTGAAGTTTCTTTTGGAAGATGTTAGTGACAGTGAAGAGCTCTCCATCTATCCCATAGTTGGCATGGGTGGACTTGGCAAAACAACACTTGCCAAGCAGGTCTTCAATGATAACAGGGTATGCAAACATTTTGACTTGACAATTTGGGTTTGTGTTTCTGATGATTTCAACACTGAGGTAATACTACAATCCATCATAGAATGTATCACTGGACAAAATCCCAATCTCAATAGCTTAGAATCAATGCGGAAAAAGGTTGAAGAAGTGTTGCATGGCTCAAGGTATTTACTTGTTCTTGATGATGTGTGGAATGAGGACCAAGAGAAATGGAAGCAGTTGAAGGGAAAGTTGCAATGCGCAAGGGCAGCAAAAGGAGCTTTCATTTTGGTCACCACTCGACTCAAGGAAGTTGCTTCCAGCATGCAGACGCATCCTGCTTACCATTTGAAAGAATTGTCAGGAGAGGATAGTTGGTCGTTATTCAAACACCATGCGTTTGGACCAAACAGAGAAGAAATGGAAGAACTCGTGTCAATTGGCAAAGAGATAGTGAGAAAATGCGTTGGTTCGCCGCTTGCAATCAAAACATTGGGAAGCATAATACGTGATGAAAGTGACGTAAAACAATGGCAGAATGTAAAGGAAAGTGAGATTTGGGATATACGGGAGGAAACTAGTTCTGCGACAGGTGAGGAAAATTCTATCATGCGTGCTTTGAAGTTAAGCTATTTTAATTTGGAGTTGTCCTTGCGGAGATGCTTTTCTTTTTGTGCAATTTTCCCCAAAGATTTTGAAATAGACAAGGAAGAACTTATTCATCTCTGGATGGCTAATGGATTTATTAAATGTGAAAGAAATGTAGAAGTGGAGGATGTTGGAAATAAAGTGTGGAAAAAATTATACAGTAGATCATTTTTTCAAGAAGCTAAGTATGATGAATTTGGTATGATCACAACTTTCAAGATCCATGATCTATTTCATGATCTTGCCCAGTCTATTATGGGTGAGGAATGTGTGGTTATTGTGAAAGGAAGATTGACTCCATTGCCAACTAGAGTTCACTATTCAAGCTTGTTCAATTCTGGTGTGTCTGATGATATGACTGCTTTCAAGCAAAGAACGACGACTGATTTGAAGAAGGTTGAATCCCTGCAGACTTTTCTTGATATTGGTGGTATTGGCCCGGTGCCATCAAATCATTGTCTCCGAGCATTGCAAACAAGCTCTTCATTGGTGTCCCCACTCAAGGATTTAACACTTTTGAGATACTTGAGTTTGAGATTTTGTAGATGTTCGGAAGAAAGCTTAAATAGCTCAATTTGTCAGTTGCCGAAATTGCAAATACTGAAACTGTTTCATTGTCAAGAACTTCATGGGTTGCCTAAGGACTTGACACGATTACAGGATCTGAGGCATATTGTGATTAATTGTTGTCATTTAATACAAGAGACGCCTCCGAATATTGGCAAGCTAAGGCATCTAAGAACCCTGAACACTTTTGTTGTGGGTTTGAAAGGAGGGTGTGGGTTAGCAGAGTTGCATAGCTTAAAGCTGGGAGGCACGCTGAGTATCAGAGGCCTTGAAAACGTCCCCAATGAATGGGATGCTAAACAAGCAAATTTAATGAGCAAGAAAGAGTTGAATCGCCTACACTTGTCATGGGGTAGTAGTGCTAATTCAGAAGGTAGTAATGT